AATTTCTTTACTTCCATATTACACCAAAAATTGACAATACTATCTTACCCAAAACAGAACCAGTATGTCCTTTGAAGAGAAAACCACTATGCCTTTGAGGAATACCCAAGGAGAACTGCTGCTTATGATAAGTGATAACCTACTCATAACTAGCTTGGAACAGCACAATGCACATTGAGCACCACGCTGAGAGAAAGCAACATGGGCATTTCCTTCGTATTCAATATGAGACCAGCCAGCCAATCAATCAAACACTTTAATCTTGTAATGGACACACAATTTCCAAATTAAACTGGGTAGAAAATGGTCACAAGAGAAATAAATTAAGCCCCTGTTTGGTGTAATTTAAAAAGTCGATAAAAATACAAGTTAAATCCAACAATTAATTTTAACCACATATTTCATGTAACCCACAATGTTCATCAACTTTTCAATCGCACATTTCATTAAATTTATCAAAACAAAAAAGCAATTAACAACCATGCACCGCTCCAAAACTTGTGTCATCCTATTGGCTAAAACTTAAGCAATAATCATGTACAAACTTGACGGCAAAACGAAATCGGAATAAAAACGTTAATATTAAGGAATCTGATATTTTTCAGAATGAGACACATGAAAACTGAGTTTGTGACTCAGTTGATCATTCATAGCTGGAAAAACTCCTCAATCACCTTCATGCAATCCCCTCCCAACAACACTTTAACAAACCCCAGGAGAAATCATTGAAGTCTCAGACAAAAACAGCAGACTTTAGGTTCAAAGTCTAGGCTATCCCAGTAGTGGATCAATCTGGAGAGAATAACCATGCAGGATTTTGTGAAGATCAAACTGATTCAAGGAGATTGATGTTAAATCATTAGAATTCTAGAGCAGGGAAAAACTGGTAAGGATCTACTTGCTCAACTATATCATAGGTTTCTAGAATTTAAAAGTGAAAGAAGATAAGAAAAATACCTGGATTGGCACAAGCAATACTAGGCACAGGTATAGAAATATTTAATTGCACAAAATTTTGAAAAATAACCTATGTACCACCATAATACATTTTGAACTCAACTTTCAGTTCCATGAGTATTGAGTATCAGAGAATACTTTTGTGTAGGAGAAAAACCATTTCACCCCCGGCTAGCAGGAACATCTAATTCAATACATAACTTACAAGATACAACAGATAAAACTTTGCAACTAGATATACAAACAGAAAATACATTTATCACGAAAACTAGAATGACATTGAACAAACTCCCAAATTTTCCAAGCATTGTATAGAAATTTAGGACTAACCTCTATAAAGTAACCAGTGCCTACATCCACCAACACCTTATCCGCATCATCCAGCGAACCAGGAACATAAAGCGACGCCGTCAAAGGTACCAACATTTTCTTCCCTGAACCAAAGAAGTTTCAAACACAAATATTTAATAAAACAATGTAATATAATACGCGTGCATAAACGCAAGTTTTTTATATTTCTATACCTCGGGGGCGGAGGGAGAGGTCTTGGAGGGCTGTGGAGGCGATTTCGAGGCGGGCAGTGGCGGTGCGAACGTTGTTGAGGCTGTCTTGAAAGAGGTTGAATTCGAGATCCGCTTGCTCTTTTAGGGCTCTAAGCTGCTCCAAACTCATCTTCTCCATCTCTAACCCTACTCCTGCTCCTCTCGATGCCCTCCCTCTCAATTAGGGAAAAATTGATGGGTCGGGTATTCACTTTCACTAAATTACAAATCAGGCACGAACGTTTAGATTTTCAAAAATCAGGTTTTTCATAAATTAATTAATTATATTTCACAATTATTATATTAAATTAAATATTAAACTGTAATATAATATAATTAACCCATCTCACTGCCACCTCTGCTCCGACGACTACTCCGGTGACGGGCAATAACTCCGGCGATTTTTTCGAAGTCACAGATCAAAAATTTTGTAGGTCACGGATTATTTTGAGGTCACAGATAAAAAAAAATTTTAGATCACGTATTATTTTCAGGTCACAGATAAAAAATTTTGTAGGTCACAGATTATTTCAAAGTCACAGATCTAATATTTTATAGGTCACATATTATTTCGAGGTCACAGATTATTTTTGTAGTTACAAATTATCAATTTTAAGCTAGGTCACATATACCAAAAACATCACAATCGCTAGGTCACTGACACCAAATAGTTGGTCACAGATAACCAAATATTTGGTCACAGACACTTCGTCTCATTCGCTGTCGACCACAATCCCTAAAACACCCACCAACAATAACACCACTGTTACCGTCTGAAGAATGCCAATAACAAGTTGATCAAACACCCCACCCACCCCACTCCCGATCCACCACCAATAATTAGTCACAGATCAATCAAAAAATTGGTCACAAAACACCACCACCGCCTCCGNCAACCAAACACTCCAGTCTTCTTTTTAATTTTCGGAAGCATTGGCCAGCCAGAAGTGAAAAAATGCAGTTAGTATACCCTTTTCTACTCATCACATCGATCCAAAAAAGGCCACCAGTATTAGTCCTCCTCTCGCTCAAGCACCGCGAACTGTAGCATCGCGATGCTGAGAAAAGGCGGTGGTGTCGCAGCAGCGTCGCCCGACACTATTGCGGGTGTCGCCGCGACGCTGCACATCAACAGCAGCGTCGCGACCTAAGGAGGGAGGGAGAGAAGAAGGGAGGAGAAGAGGGAGAAAGGGAGAGGAATGAGGAGAAGAGGGAGAAAGGAGAGGTGACGGTCGGTGTTGTTGGAGAGAAGTGAGAGAGCGAAGAGAATTGATTATTTAGGGTTAAAAATTTTGGTGGGAGTAAGGGTGGGTATATGGAGTAATATAATTTTATAATATTATTATTATTATTAATTGTGAAACTAATATCTGATTTTTGATTAAATAAAGTCAAAACCTGATTTTTAAAAAGTTAAAACTAAATAGCTGGTCTTAGGTAATTACCTCTCTCAATTACTGCTGCTGCTGCACTATGCAGGCCTGCATGGCTTTTTTTGGCTAAGCTTTAGGGCCTGCTTTGGAAGTTTCGGGTTACATTGCACTGGTTTTGAGTGTGTACGATCGATTTCAATTGATTTTAGCAGTGATTTTCAAAGTTGTCCAATATGTTTTGAAAGTTTTTTTAAAAAATAAAATTATGCCCCCATTTGGGTCACCTTTTTATCTCATTAAAATGAAAAATATGACCGTTATCTATCACATCAACATTTAAATTCAAATTTTCTATCTTTGTGTAGGCTCCAATAACGGTTATATTTTTCATTCTCATTCTACAATAAGATGGCTCAAACAGGACAATATGTTTTTTAGTAAAATTTTCGGTATATAATTTTATATATATAGTCTTTTCACTCTTAAGTGATATTTTATATTTATGTAATTTTTTATATATAAGTTAATATTTAACTTAAAGAATTAAATAAAGTTAAATATTTACTTAAAAAATTTTATTAGTATTTTTTATTTATAAGTAAATTTTATAATTTTAAATCATTTCAGGTGAATTTTTTACTTATAAATATTTTTTTTATATTTTATAAATAATTTTTTGTCTTATTAGTAGTATTTTTATTTTATAAACAAATTTTTTTATATAAAAGTAATTTTTTTATTTATAAGCCATTTTTTTTATTATAATGTATTTTTTCTTATTTTATAAGTAACATTTTACTTATAATTATTTTTAATTATAGTGTAATTTTTTAGTTTATATATTTTTATTTATAAATTAGTTTTTAAATTATTTTATATAGGGTAAAATGTACGAGAAACAGTCAAAATCTGCTTATTTGGTGAGTTTAGGGAACGAGCCAAAATTATATTACATTGATTTAACCACCCAAAAAAATTAACCTATTTGTACAATCATGCCAACAATTATGGTTGACAATATTGATATTATCAAAATTTGGATCATTGATTTTAAAAAATAGTTAAATAAAGTTGATTTTTAATTTACTTAATACTTTATATGTGTTTTTAATATAAAGCTCCCAACAAATGCCCCTATAGCTCAGTGGTAGAGCGCCAGTCTTGTAAACTGGAGGCCTGTAGTTCGATCCTGCATGGGGGCATCTATTTCTTTTGTCTTGTTCTGTTTTGATTTATTTACTTGCAAAGTTGGATTTTGTCAACGGCCAATTAAACTGCACCTAGTAGAATTAGGGGTAGACAAAACCAATCAAAATTGTCCAAACCTAACCAACGCGACCTATTTGAGTCGATTTTTTTGTTGTTCTTAAGTGGGTTCGATTTTTTGACTGTGTAGACAGATTGGATTGGGTCAAGTATAGGTTAACATCCATGGAGTCATTTACCAACAAAGAGGTAAATAGGAGAGGTTTCATTTCACAGAGAAGCGTGTTTCATTTTGAAGAGGAAAACCACAATGTGCTGAGTTGGAGGCCACTTTGACATTTCCTTGCACTCGTAGACATAATAAACGGAATCCATCTAGTAAGTGACTGAGAGCAAAGGACCTAAGTTCAATAACTGGTTACTGGGAAGCTTTACAAAGTTGGGTAGGTAAGCCATAACATATTACAAAGTTCAGTGAAACATTCTCCAGAAAAAGAATCTTGATTTTTGATAGCAAATTGTTTTCCTTACAATTATACAAGCTAGATGAATCGAGTCGATGTCAAGTAAAATTTTAATTAAATTGACATCTAAACAAGAAAACAAAATCAAAGCTAGCTTGTCAAACGATGTTTATATTTCTAAGGTGTTGGGAAGTTTTTTATTAATTTCAACCAAACATTCATAATTCCTACTCATTATTATTCATGCATTCCATTGGACACTAGTATGCATCTTTATAAACCATTTATAAATTTGCCAAGAGCACAATTACTGATTTTAATATTAGAGTGTATCTAATACTACATACCATCGTGTGCGTACAGTTCAACACAGCCTTCCCGCCAAAATCACTAAAATTCTTATTGATAGGCATACGAAAATAAGGTTCGTAGGACAGTGATTCAACTGAACAAATTAATCAAGCCTCACTTGGAAGAACATTCAAGAAATGATAAACTTCCTCCTCGTCGATTACTCCCACATCTGTTGAACAGACTGAACAGCAAACCCGTTTAAATGTTTCAGCAGCAACAGAACCAGCTTCATTCTGAGACCCTCTTCTGTTCCGTTTTCGCTTATTGCCTGGTTCTGACAATTTCTCACTTGTAATCTTGCAGTTTACTACAAAAATTGCGCGGTACTGGGTCACATATTTTTCATGCCTGCAAGAAAGTAGGGAAAGCTCAGGGTTGTGGTTTGATTGTGTTTACTATTTTGAGAGTAAAGATTTGAGTCAGCAAGAGAATAAGAGGATGGCAGAAAGAACCAAGAAAAGAAGGAAGTATGATTTAGAAAGTCATATTATATAACTCCATAGTGTTGCTTTGAACCATTAGAAGCTTCAGGCTTATAACACTCCCAACAAGACCAACTTTGCTTATAGTTATAGCTTAGCCATTTAGACCGAAAAAAAAAAGGAAAAATCTAGACGGAAAAGCAAAAGCAAGAAAAATATACAGACACCACTGAGAACATTAACAAAGATTCAGAAAGTAATAATTTCCCCATAGAAAAGGAAGAGTATAAAATGCATTTCTTGGTCTAACTTGGATCCAAAATTACAAATAAAGATAAAATGAAAGAATTGTAAATCGGTAAGTTTGGAATTAGCACAGCCCATTGCAGTTTCTAAGCCACCATTGAGCTTTAGCACCACATGTTTGTTCGCTTGGTTTCTGCAAACACTCCATGAGATAGCAGAAATTAGGAAGAGGGTCACATGGTTCTATTAAGTGGGTAAAGTAATTGGAGTGGGCTATGTAGGCTCATTTTTATGGAAATTAACAAAAATGGTTCTTGGCCAAGTTCTTCTACCCAGGGCTCGGTCCAGCTAAGCCAACCCCAAAGACTGCCCCTGCACGTGAGGATGTGAAAAACCTGATAGAGGAGATTTCCACCTAGCTCAAGTTCAAACACAACAATTGTTCTGTGAAGGTTTGATTTATCACCTACGTGTCTCCTCTTCGTAAATTCATATTCAGAAAAGATGCATCTTTGCTCAGCAACATACGTTCATCTAAGTTACTTTTAAAAGATGGATGACTTCAGTCCATCGCCACAAAGTAATTTGCTTGAATTAAGGTCGTCCAGACCAAGGAAAAGAACTATACCAAATAGAGTAGTGGTGGTATTAATATTTTATGTGGGATCTAGTTGATTTCAGCCAGTACAAGTAGAAATTAACTTCCAGAATACCCAGTTTTCTGGGAAAGACCAGCAATACATGGACCTGCTTGTTTTGCACAAACTACTCAGCACATAAAAGAAGAGTTTATTCTCAATTAAGCTGTTGGACGAGGGACTTCCAAATCAACAGAATATGAATGTAGCTAATGTGGACCCCAAAATTAGGATTTCTGTCACCAGCAGCCACTGTAGATATACCATGCAATTGGGAATCTCAAGCTCAACTGAATCTCTCCAATTATTTGAATAAATTTAGAGAATGAGACATATATAGATCACGTGCTCTTGACAGAATTATTAACATTTTATATTTAAGTAATCATCCACAACTTAATATCTAATCTGAACAAGCCCCCAGTGAAAGGATATGAACATGCATAGACCTTCTTATTCTTGTGAATTAACAGTCAAGATCTCTATGTATATTTCACTGCATCCCGAGCCATTTCTTCTTCAAATACATGCTTACTGCTGAGAGAGGATGTGAATATGATGCCCACATAATCTAGTGATCTGCAGTGAAATGTGGAATGCATAATTGCAGATCACTTACTTGTTTCTAAGCTCACAAGTCAAATACTCATTTGGACTTTTTTCTGAAGTTCAAATGGTTTGAAAATCCCATGTAGGGTGCTAATATACGGATGTAGTATTTGATTTTCTCCTTCCCTAACTTGTGGTCTACTTCTTCACCTCAGCAGAAACCTTCCAAGGGTAGTTATTGCGAACTAGTGTATATCAACTATCAAGAACATTTCAATATATAATCAATCAGTACTACAACTGCAGTTTTAGAATTCCGTGTATTTCCATATCTCTTGGATACTTAATATCACTGCCACCTCATTGAAAAGGAGAGTAGTTGATGATTTTGTAGGATGCAAAATTAAACTAAATGGAAATAGAACTTCTGTTATTGAGCGTCTCAGGGGATAAAAGGAGGTAGATTTATCTGGCAAACATCCCCTGCCAACGACAGCTATCAGCAATAGCTCTATGCTGCTGCTGGTGATTAGTTCCATTAAGGTTTTTCTTTGCAGGGTACAAAGTGTGGAATCTATACTATCATAATCTAGGACATCCCTCTGAACATGATGGTAGATTAAAACCTATTACAGGGAGTTCTTAAATCATTCTCGAAGAACTGAAAACATATGCTATAAGAATAATCATTTAAGACTAGGTGTGACGCTTCACAAGGAAGATTATCAAACTCTAACACTCTACTTACATGACTAAATAACACTCTGACTTAAATTGTGAACTTTATTAAGAACTTGAAAGTTGAACTCAGTGCCATGTATAAAAGAAAAGGAACTAAAAAGAAATATCGAAACCCGATTTCTCTAGAGATTAAAAGGGAAAGAAAAATGCATGCAGTATCTTTACAACAAAATCGGATACATGGATAAAGATGTGTATGCAAGATATGCACCTTTGGCAATCTAGACAAAGGGTAGTAAAGCAAGCCGGGCAGCTGAGGACAGCATCAGAAGTGTGGCCTTTTCTTTTCTTTTGGGCCCATAATTCATCCTTGTCATCGAGTTTGGGATCATAAAATTCAGGCTTGATGGAGTAGTCTATTTCATCATCATCAGAAACTAAACAATCACCACAAACAGTCATAAATCAGAACTACGGTCTATATACTACTTGATTGTTGTCAGAAATAGAACAATTTGACAGAAGGGAGAAATTCGTTGTCACCCAAGCAACAACATGAAACTAAAACCAGTTGTCAGAAAATTGTGTGTGAACGTTTAGCATAGCCTTAAAAAGAGTAAATTACTGGTAAGCAACTCATCAATTTTTATTTTCAAAAGCAACAGTCTCCCAATAGAATAATGCTATATAGCACCTGGTGGCCACACTTGTGCAATTAAATGAATGTTTTGACATTGCATTTAAATGAACCGATTACTCCTCCCAAAAAAAGCTCAAAAAAAGGCTTTTTTTTTGGCTTTTAAGCTACTTACTGTTGATGATTGGTGTGACATTCGCATAAAAGTTTCTGAAGAAAATTCTTGTGGAATTAACATACAAATAATAACGAAAAAAAAGGCTATTTAGCATCATCAATTTCACCTGTTTGCTGCGAATTTGTTGGGGAATTTTGTGCTTCAGTTTTTTCCTTGTGTTCTCCATTCGTCTCTGTCCTGTGAGCGGAGTGCGAGGTTCCGAGCTCCGCCATCGGCCGCCGATTCAGTTCTCCTAGAAGTTGAAACAGCTGGGGAGCGATTTTTCTTTGAAATTTCACTTTTTTGGGAAAAAAATTTATTGTAAAGAAGCTACTAAAAAGGGATAAATAGAAGGAAAATAAATTACTCTCTCCGCCTTACTAACTTTTCTCATTTTCTTGTTCCAATTATACAATTTTTTTTTATTGAGAGTGTTCCCTTATTTAATTTGTTTAATTATAACCAAATTTTCCCGAGTAATGCTATTCATCCCCAGTGGGGATGAAAACACAGTCTATGTGACACTAATGTGACATTAAATGATAGGTTCACCTATCATTTAATGCTACATAGACTGTGTTTTCATCCCCACTGTGGATGAATAACATTACTCAATTTTCCCACTTAATTTTGAAATTATACAAATATAAAGATACTTATTTCTTAAAAACTAATAATTCAATTTCTTTACTACTTACAACAATAATCTACCACTAGTTGTTGATAATTAAATAAGGATAAATTAGGAAAATTTTTGACAAAAATTGATTTTTCAATAATATTAAATAAGATTTCTTAGTTCGGGTGGAAAACAAAACTAACTTATATACGAGACTGAGGGAGTATAAAAGATTAAGCTCTTGTTGGTCCCCATTATTTTAAAAATATATTTTTCTTCCTTATTTTTAAACACGCGCATTCTTAAATTAAATAATATTACATGCAAATTTTAAAAAAATCATATTTTTAACTATATATTCTCCATCAAAATACTATTCCAAAATACATTTTGAATTCCGAAATGGGGCTCGAACAAGCCCTAAATAAAAATTTCTATTGCAATTCACATTCTAATTGGAGATATTCGAATTGATCTTAATAAAGCATAAAAAACGCTACTTGTACAATTTTTTTTGTATGGACAAATTTACAGGCGTTAAGATGACAGAATTTAATTGATTAATTTAACTTTGAATAATGTTTACTCAACTGAAATTATAACCACAGTCTACGTGGTGCTAATGTGGCGCTAATTATAACCACGGTTATTTAATTTCACATTTCATTTAGTTTATTATCTAACATCACATTAACGCCGTATAAACTGTGATTATAACTCAGGTGGAGCTAAATAACATTATATAATCCAATCGATAAATAGAGCTCGAACACTTAACATTTCTCATCAAAGCATTATTGGTAGTTAATATTTTTTTTATGTAAGCTTTCAAGTTGTAAAATATATTAAAGCAACTGTTAGTCTAACGATGATAGAAGGAAGAGAAATGCTACATGTACCACCTAGTTTACTGCTGGCTTAGAGAAATAATAGGCGGCAAGCTCTCACGCCATCTATGACAATAAAATACGTTAATCCAACCATTAAAATGCGTCATGTCATCATTTCTAAAGCCATGTAACAATTCATTTATACAAATAGCTTTTTTGTAAAAGGAAACATCCAAAAAATAAATAACCAAGGATAAAAAATATTTTTTTTTAACTTCAAATAGAAAATATATAGATAGTCAAACCACATAAAATGACGAAACAAATACGATCGAACCAATCAAATCAAAAGGGAAATTAGTCGTAAAATATGCACGATGGTGAATAACTATATTTTCATAGCCAGAAACAAAGCAATAGGAGTCACTTTCTACCTCGTCCAACGTTGTTATAATATCTTGTTCGAACCCTATTATTTGGCAAAAAATATATTTTGAAATAGTAGATTAATAGAGATTGTGGGGTTAAAAAATAAATAAATCCTAATTTGAAGCGCATCGATTCTTTCCTTACCTCCTTTATCATTGTACGATTATTTTGGAATATTAACTAGCCATGTAGATTGTTTTCCTCTCGACAATAAAACTCATCTCCTATCATGTACTGACCGACATTAACCCTTGAAATCAAGGTTCTCAAGACTTGCACGGCACACCTTAAGGCCAAATTTGGCATCATGGGAATGCTTATTCTTTCTTCAATTTTTCGAAAATTTTGAAGTATACGTTATCATGTCCCATTTTGGAATGTGCTTATTTATGCAACCACGAAAACGTCAATCGTACCAGCTTAACAATATCGTTATCATTTGATTACTAGCATAATGTTTCAAGTCTTCATGGATCAAATTGACAGTCGATAATAGAACTTTAAACATCAAATCCCTCGAGTGCAAGTGAGAACTTTTAAGAGTCATTGGCTAAGATTCTAACAAAAATTGACTAAAAAAATTGGAAAGCACGATTGAGCGAATAAGCACAACTAAAGAAGTTAAGGTAAGGAGGCTCGAGTTGCATCACCCTTTACCATTCTATAGATTCAGATCTCAGAGCTTGTTTGGGAGAAATTTTTGGGGGAAAGTAAGAAAAGTAGAACCAAACTTCGATTTCAAGCAGAACATATTATGTTACAGAAAAACACACTTTTAAAGTGCAATTTGCTATAAGCAAGTTGACTCGCCATATTGGCTGAGCTCGTACTGATCTGTAAGCAAATAAGCAACAAATACATGTTCAAGCCCAAACTTCGAATTCATCATATAGTAACTGCCTCGACAGAAACCTTAAAATGTACAGTCAATATCTTCACCTGCATGTAAAACATATCCCTGCCCATGGTGACAAGCTGAAACCGTGCAACCAGACAAGCTGCAAAATAAATTATTCAGGTTAATACATCATGCCTCCAAAGCACAACAGAAACGAATTTGCCCACTCCTAATTTTTCAAAATAGTAGGACATGGACAGCTCGATTATAATAATTTAAATTATACAGATACATTATATCCTTATTCGGTACCTTTTATTTACCTCTGATTTTGAATTTTGTACTTAAAATATTTTAGGTTAAGCTCCCGACACACATTCTTTCAAAACTCATTTTCAATCACACATTCAATTAAATAATATTTTCAATCACATCAATAATTTTTCCTTACTTTTTAACCACATATTTCCCATCATATCACTATTTAAAATACATTCTTTCCTCAATAATATCCATCAAACACGCCCTAAAGGAATGCCTATTTGTTGTAAGATGACTTCGGGATGTACCATGCATTACTAATTTATTAAAAAGGGACATGACACGTGGTGTGTATCATCACGTGCTCCAGGGTGTACAAGGAACACCAGTCTGATGCGTATTGGCATGGAAACTCCGGCATAGCAGGAGCTATGTGCTTCACAGATAATGCAAATGTAGTCCCGCCACAGGCACAATAATATGATCAATGGCCAGACATATTAAAAGAAATCCTTTATTGGGATTCATGGCGATGATTTTCAAGTTAAATTGGCTACTGGCTAGCCAATAGTTTGCACGCTATTTCACTACACCTTCCCCATTTAAAACCTCTCACTGCGTATAGATGCAAGAGTTAAGACGCCTTTTGGAATTTACCAATAGTTACTTGTAAATACATGAATTGACACCCATACATGAGTTCATGTTAATTGGTTATCCACCAAATCACGTTTTATACTTGAGCATTAGTTGTCTACACAAATAAGTCTTTGCTGTTACTTAAAAGTTAGTTGCATCACTGTTTTAAACCCTGTATATCAAAAAAAAAGGGGGGAATTCTTCATGGAAATTTTTGTGGCATCTGAATATTCTCAAATTAAATATTCTGACACTTGAAAGAGTACAAAATTGCAACTGACAATCATGGACTTGTTCATGTAAACTGGCTATCCATTGCTTCACGAGTTACTTTACTACACCTTCCAACAACCACCTCCTACAGTGAGTAGATGCAAGACTGGACACCTTTTGCCATTTACTTTACTCCTCCATGGTAGTACACGAACTTACACTGGTTTGCTACTCCATGTTCATGTAACTGGGCATTCGTTAGTCAACTTGTTACGTCACTACATCTTCCCAAATCAACAACCTCCTACAGCTGGTTGATGTAAGATGCAGACATCTTTCCCAACTAATAATATGTATGTGATTTTTTTCTCTACAAGTATGCAATCTCAAAAAACTTTGTTTTCCCTACAAATGGTATTTCCCCTAATATGGTCTTCCTCGTCAATTTTCTCTCAAAGATGCTACTGAATCAGTCTTTGCAATGAATATTGTTGAGAATCAAGCTTTTGTGGGTCACTAGCAGCAAGGTTGGGTTCTTGATTATCTACAATAGCTGTTGAGTACAATTTTAAGCAAAGTCTATATGCTTTCTTAAGGCAATTGTTAAAAATGGACACGACCCCATCATTCTAATAGCATTTACTTGTCAAAGTGAGAAAATATAACTAATATTAAGACTTCGCCAAATATCAATCACAACAACGCAACCAACTGTGCAACATTGTTTTCATATTTTTTCATTTTCACTTTGGACGAAAGGATACGTTTTTGTCCAAGCACATAAAATAAAACCACTGAAACCCAGTAACAATTATACAGCTTCAACAGGTTCAATACAAATATATAGCACTTGAGACAGACCAAACTTGATATACATAAGGAGCGTACTTCAGATAAGGTTTGAACACAAAAGCATAACATTACATATAGATTGATAACGTGTAATCCCTCTCCTCTTTCCATCTCTCAGACTCTCACTGTCTCTCTCATGTGCAGATACGCACCATAAATTACCGAATCCATCAGTCATATGTAAGTAAATAGGCAAAATGGATATTAATCTGCATTCCAACATGGATGGGCATAGCTCATGTCCATGAAATTATCACTTGGGAAAATGGAATGGTATCCCAGGCCTATGTTGCTATCTCTATTCGCCCACTCTCCTTTCTTTTATTCTCTCCTTTTTTGTCCTTCTCTTTTTGACTCTTGTTTGTATATCTACAATTTGAAAGCTAGCCCTTTCTCTATTTTTTATAGATAATCAGAAAATTTTATTAATCAAAGAAGAATACACAAGAAGTGTATTATCAATTTAAACAAGAAAGAAAAGATATGAAGTTAGGCAGCCCCTCTATAGGATTGTCAGTCGCTGCATTAAACCAAGTATACTAAGTCAGATAAAATAATTCTCTAAATTGCTTTGTGGTCCGTATTTAGTTTTCAAAACATCGGTTGTTCTTTTCCCTCCACACACATACACCATACAATGCATCTCAGGATAAGATTTCATACTAGCTTGCTATCCTTATCACGAAGTTTCCTCCTTCATGCCCGCAACACATCCTCTATACGTCTAGGTAACATCCAATCTATATGTTGAGAAACCAGAATACTATTCCACAGCCAACGGACACCGTCACAGTGAATGAACAAGTGGTCATGCGTCCCCCATCGCTCATACACATATAGCACCACTTGGTAACATAAAAGCCTTTTTTCGGAGATTATCCATCGTTAATGCCTATCCCCTCACAACCGTCCAAGGTAAAATGACACCCATGGGGACAATTTGTAATGCCTCACCATCATCTAGGGAAATGAACTCTCCACAGGTCCCAAGAGAGATCTAAAATAAGAGCAAACTGAAAAAATACCATTCTGTGCCAGCATCCATTGGCTACGATCATCATCTCCTACCCGAATTTGCACCTCATACAAATCCGTTAGAAACAATGCATAGTCATCCAATTCCCAATCCTGCAAACTCCTCTGAAAAGTGATATTCCAACTCCCATTGTGGATGGCTAAAACGTTATTCACCATAGCAGAAGGCATCATAGTAATGCGATGCAAAGAAGAAAACCCCCACCTTTAGCGGTATATCTCCACACCAATAATCATCCCAAAATCTGATATTATTACCATTCCCCACCACAAAAGTCAAGCTATTCCGAAAGTTGTTCCATCCTCGTCAAATATACCTCTATAGACTCACCCCGTAAGACGCACGACCCTCACCCGAACACCATCCCCCCCATTACGCCATACTTCGCCCCAATGATTTATCTCCAGAAATTCTCCCTCTCCACACCAAATCGCCACAACCATTTGCCTAATAATGCCTTATTAAACAAAGTAAGCCTCCTCAATCCGAGACCATCTTCATAGGAGAGCAGACAACTTCCCATTTAACCAAATGAAGTTTCCTCTCCTCTCCCAATCCTGCCCAAAGAAATTTCCTTTGAATCCTCTCTAATCTGTTAGCCACTGCAGCAGGAATGGGAAACAGTGACATAAAATAAGTAGGGATATTTGATAGAGTAGATTTAACGAGAGTAAGACGGCCCTTCGAAAGATATATACGCTTCCACCCCGCTAACCTCATTTCCACCTTCTCCACAATAGCATTCCAAATATTAATACTTTTAAACCGCATCCCTAAAGGGAATCCGAGATATGACATACGTAACTGCGCAACCCTACAACCCTACAACCCAATATAATAGCTAGTTCCACTACATTAGTGACCTCCCCTACTGGAATAACCTCAGATTTCCCCATATTAACCTTTAATCCTAACACCGCTTCAAAGCATAAGAGCAACCTGCGTAAATTCCTGACTTGCTCCTCAACTGCGTCACAAAAAATCAGTGTCATCTGCAAATAACAAGTGGAACACCTGCAGTTGACCAACCGTAAATCCCATAAGCAGATTCTCCCGCCTCGCTTTCTCGAGCATCCTACTGAGGGCCTCCATTACAATAACAAATAGTAATGGAGACAATGGATCTCCTTGCCTCAACCCTCCGCTACTCTGAAAGTAACCAATGGGGGTACCGTTGACCAAAACTAAAAATGAAACACTAGAGATACAGAACTGAATCCACTACACCACTTATCCCCAAATCCACATCTCCTAAGCATATACAAAAGGAACATCCAGTTCACGTGATCATAAGTGTTCTGAATATCGAGCTTGCAAAGCATCCCTGGAACCTCTAGGCACAGTCTTGAGTTAATACATTCATTCGTTATTAGTACAGAATCCAAAAGCTGACGACTTTTCACGAAAGCATTCCGAAACTTAGACACCACTTTCCCTAGCACCTCCTCGAGTCTATTTGCCAAAACTTTTGCAATAATCTTGTACACCCCACTGACCAAGCTAATAGGGCGAAAATCCTTAATATCAGTTGCTCCCAGATTCTTAGGGTTCAGAACAATAAATGTTGCATTAGAACTTCTCAGAAACCTGCCACGCTAAAAAAAGTAAAAACATCAATAATATCCTGTTACACCACCTCCCAACACACCTTATAAAATGAGAACGAGAACCCGTTTGGTCCTGGAGCCTTATCATCATTCATACTAAACATGACCTCATTAATTTCATCCTCTCCAAATGGTTTCTCCAACCAACCGACATCCTCCTCCGTAATAGTATAAAACTTCAATCCCTCCAACTTTGGTCTCCACTCAAACTGCTCTCGATATAGGTTCTGATAAAAGTTCACCATATGTGTCCTAATATCCCGTGGATCCTCATAAGTAATCCCATCTACCTCCAACACTGTGACAGAATTATTCCGCTTGTTAGAATTGGCGACCCCTTATGGAAAAACTTAGTGCATTTGTCTCCCTCTTTTAACCACGTGACCCTAGATTTCTGACGCCAAACAATCTCCTCCATCTCCACCAAACTCACTAGCTCTTCCCTTAATACTCCACGTATCTCCTTCTCTTCCCCATCCAACCCTCGCTTCTCCTCTAGCTTATCCAGCTCTTCTATGTCTGAAAGACGCTGAACTTTACAAAAGTTCACATTGCCCACCACCTCCTCATTCCACCTCTTTAAATCCCTTTTTAACGTCCTCGACTTATAATCCAACACATAACTGGGGGACCCCCGAAAATCATAAAAAGCCCACAAATTTCGTACTCGCTCCCTAAAACCTTCAACTTATAACCACATCTTCTCAAACCTAAAAAGGCCTTAATCTACTACCCCTGGCATTCACAGATAACAAAATAGGAAAATGATCAGAGTACACCCTCCCCAATCTCCTCTGAGTAACATCTGAGTACTTAGCATCCCACTCTCCGCTAACTAAGAACCGGTCTATACGAGATAGAACAGGTTGGTCCCGATTAGATGACCAAGTAAAGTCTCCCCCAATTATAGGCATATCCACCAACATATTCTCCCTAATAAAATCTGAAAAATCCTCCATAACCCCAGTTAGTCTCCCACCACTCGACCTTTCAGTAGGAAATCGAACCACGTTAAAATCACCCCCAATGCATGTTGGGAGATTCCACCAAGCCATCAAACCAATCAACTCATCCCACAAGACCCCTCTACTCTCATCTGAATTAGGACCGTAAACTTCTATAAACATCCACTGGAATCCATCCCCAATATTCCTAAACGAGAGCGAAAGCGAGTATGACCCTACACTAACATCCTTCATATCATAAACTCTAGTGTCCCACATGATAAGCATGCCTTTTGATGCCCCCGATGACCCCAAAAACTGATATCCTACATGTTGTCCCCCCATAAGCTACTAACCACAGCTCTCGAGACAAACTCCAGCTTAGTTTCTTGCAAACAAACAAGTTCCGCCTCCATCCCCTTAACAAATTTCGAATACCTAACATTTTCCCAACATCATTAAGCCCCCTTACATTCCAACCAATAAGTTTTAGAGTCATTTTAACGCTCCATCATCGCTCCCCAGCAACACTTTCCTTGCCTCGCCACCCTTAGCATCGTAATTTACTGACCATTCGAGCTGCTTAAGCTCACAGACGCCCTTCTTCTAGCTTAGCCTCCTTGTATACTCATCATCTGCCCCCTACTAGCCTCCAACTCCTCAAATAATTGCATGAGTCTACTTTCATATCCATCGCAGGATATGCCAACCAACTTACTGAAATCCTGAATTTTTTTAAGGACCCAATTTGAAGGTTGGTGTCCAGCTTCAATCGCATTCACCTTCGTTGTTTCCTCTATATGACAACACTCCAAAGGGTCATACGAAAATCCCTCTGTTAACCTCCGCATGGACAACCTCCTTGTCGGTCCCCCCTCCTGACCGCCATTAACCCACAACACAAAAGCTTTCAGAGTCCCTAATTCTATTTCTTTTAGGGACTTTAACGTGCCTTCTGTTATATGTGTTCCCAACCATGACTGCCGCCCGTGCCTCATCGTGCTCTTTCAGGACTGTCACCTTCCGATTTGCTGCGGACCCCGAAGGTTTCTCATCCGTATCCAACTCCACTTCGATCCCATCATCATTTCCGGAATATACTGCTGCTTCAGACCTTGCCTGATGCTTGCAACTAGTCTCAGTCACCCCCTGCTTGTCTTTAATATGAGCTACATTCGGTGATAACTCCTTAGGAACCAAGCTCGCTATTTGATTGTCATTAGCTAGGGGCTAATCCACACCACCCTACACTTGTGACAATAGAATATCGTAGGACTCCCCTCAACCCACATCCCACTAGCCTGATTAAATCATCCAACTTATCTTTCAACGCCTAGAGGCGGGCCCCTATTTCAACAATGTTCAATATGCCACCATGTGAACCTTCTGCATGTCTCCCCGTAGGCTCAGGCATCGAAAGATGATCGTCATATTCCCTCACCTTATACATCCTGTCATTACACACTAGCCCCCGTTGATCAACTTTACGCGATGTCTGTGAGTTTGCCGCCACTTCGGCATAAGTCATCCCTTATCTATTTCTTTCATCCATTGTTCGACGTTTAGCCTTATCTCTCGCAACAAATAAATCGACAACGGCCTTAAACACCCGCAAAAACGTTGCCCATCCCTCTCCATCCACAACTTCCGGAACCATCACGGCTCCCGTCTGACGCCTTTCTCCATACAGAGCTATCGTCATGGTAAAGAGACCGGATCATGGTAAATCTGGGTTTGGAACCCAAATCGCTCAACTATTTTCAGACGACTGCTGCCCTTACTACCGTCGCCTGAAGTCCCCTCCTCCGCCAAATACTTCTCGCCTGAGATTCCTGCTCCGGTTCGAGCGGTGGTGCTAGGTTTTCCACCTAGGGTAGCCACCTGTGTGTGTAGGTGTTGGCCTGAATGGCCATAGTTATGTGGCGTGAGGCCGGTAAGGATGGGTTCACCGGTCAGTACCTCGTTGCCGACGCCGACCGGAGTAGGTGATTGTTGGGTGGTGATTGGATTTTGGATATTGAGGGAAAGGGCTCCATCACTTCATTATTTGATTTATAAATGTAATAAACTTGCATTTACTTATTTCAAACATGATTATGACAAACCATAATTGGTAATTATACAAGGATCAAAAGGTTCAATAAAATTTGCATTGCAAAGGCTATCATTGGTGATTGGGAGTCAATCATACATGGGAAGAAGACAGTAAAACATTCAATTACTTGTGGATATATATTCAACACTGAGGAACTTTTCAGAGATATCAAATGAAAAAAGAAGGGATTTTCATATTCTGTCCAAAAATGAAGGGAATATGCCTTTGCTTGAAAGAAAAATGAAACAAAATTCTATCCTAGGATCTAATCCATTATTTAAAATTCTGCCTCAAACCCAGTTACCAATATACACATCACAGCTTTGATAACCCTAAAGAATGCATTCATCAATAAGATATACCAGATAATGGTCCAACCAACTAAAAATAAAGTAAGACAATTGAAAACAAAAATAAGCAGTGCATTAATTATGTTTCAATGCCTATGGAAACTGTACCTGAACTGTGTTTAGTTAGTTTCTCGGTTTTGCTGCTCTGAACCTCCACCTCCCGATCCTGATCCGAACCCTCCCAATGGCCATGGCAATGTTATGGTAAACCTCCTCTCGCCTATCCTTCGTCCCTGAGAATCCTCGGCTGAATTATCATTATTGTTATTAGCATCATTGCCCTGAGATGATCCACTTCCACTGGAATTACCCGAAGTACCCCAGGCTGTGGCCTTGCTCTCATAATCTGGATCATCTGTTGGAAGCTCATAGCGACACACTGGGCATGAGTTATGCAACTCCAGCCATGGCATAATGCAATCATCGTGATAGACATGCTTGCAGGGCATCTGCTTCACCTCTGTTCCCAACTCAAAGTCATCCTTACATACCGCACATTGTGCCAGCTCCGATTTCAGTAAAGTCTCGTCCACTTTAAGGCCAGGAAGGGCCTCAACGGCCGACTTGGAGGCTGGAGGTGTTCCATATCTGTTTGGATCATTTTCCGCTAACTGCTGGATCAACTGCTCGAATCCTGGCCCCATGAAATAATCTCCCATGTCAGCCGGCAGTGAAAACCCTGAAGGTTGGTTCCCAACCACGAACTGGTAGTTGACCCCACTGGCCCGTTGAGAGGCCAGGATGCTCATCAGATACGAAAACGGATCAAAATCGTCCGACCCGATGGTTGACTGACGGTCATCAGGGGCAAACCCGAAGAGAGATTCTCGGGCAGTGTCGCCTCTCGGGTTTTGCAGGACAACACGGGTGGAAGCAGAAGGTGACAGGAAGTGGCGGAGGAAAGGGGAGAGGGCGTCCGAGGAAAACGGGTCGGGTATGCTTGGGTTAGGGTTTTGGTATTCTTCAACGAAGCCGGAGAGGCATGAGGGGCAAAGAAGATCGCCGGTGGGGGAGGGGTTGATGCTGACCGTGCGCTCACATTGGTGGCAGAAGTATATCTGTGGACCGCCGTCCGCGACGGTGACTCCGGCGGAGGACATTTTCTTTCGCTCAGAGATGGGATAAAGGAGAAGTGAACTGTGGTAATTAAAGAAGTCGAATCTTTTTCAAGAAAAAATTTCTTTTTTTTGGGGGGTGGAAATTGAATGATGGTGGCCGAACTATTGTTAAATTGCAAATTAGTCCCCAACCTTTCAAATAGTAAGTTGATTTTGTCATTCGCTATAATTGCACGGCTAGACTTGGGGGTGGCTGTTTCATTAGTTGAATTGTTGAAAGTTTTGAAATGGATGGACACGAATGGATGTGTTGAATTTAGCTTCAGGTTGCATCAAAAAATCTTTATTTTACTCATTCAATTTATCGATTATCTATTTATTGTCCCTCGTATTTGAACACTTCGCCTCAAAGTTTGTTTCCATTTGTTAGCTCTTGGTCCAGTCCAAATGAGATTTCAAGCCAGGAGATGTGTTCGGCAAATTTGTTTCATATGGTCATACACGTACTTTGGAGCCTTTCTTATATGTATCTAATTGCGATCGTATTTTGATGCTTGTATTTTAGTTGGATAGTTTTCCCACTAAATGAGTATTTATAAAACTAATCACGTCGTGTATACATCTGGGATTCGCATCTCAAATAACACCCCCTCATATAGGGGCTACGATAATTTTATCACGTGTTGGTCCCACTTTAGTGTGAAGGTGGTGTCATCCAGTGTCATCTCGAGTGTATAAATACCATTATTTTTATAAAAAAATATTGGGCATATAAATAATATGTTATAGATAGTAATTGAGTATTTATTTATTTATGAATCTATAAAGAATGAAATTAGTCTATGTATAGATAATGAAATTAATGTTTTGAATAATGATTTTTAAGAGAACGTGTGATTAAAAAGTAGGAAAAAAATTGAATTGATGTGAAAATGGCATTATTTTTATAAAAAAAATTGGGCGTATAAATACTATGTTATAGATACTAACTTGAGTATTTATCTATTTATGGATCTATAAAGAATGAAATTAGAGTCGATATATGGATAATGAAATTAATGTTTTGAATAATGATTGTTAAAAGAATGTGTGATTAAAAAGTAGAAAAAAATTGGATTTATGTGAAAAATATTTTATTCTATAATGAGTATATAAAAAATTTAAATAATGATTGTCAATCTGGGTTAAATATAGATCTCTTGTGATGGGCCCATTGTCATTTGTATGAACCATATTATTTATTTTTATTTTTTTATTTTTTGCATTCTTTTAATTATTCTTTAAATTACAAATAAAAGAGGTTCCCATTAAGCCTCAGTTTGGCATTCATTAAAAATATAATACATTTTTCCTCTTTTCTAATCGACCACATATTCTCCAATAAAATAATATTACACATAAATTGAAAATAATTTCTTCATTTTTAATCACAAATTTTTTCAAAAAATTATTATTCTAAAAATTATAATTTTAAATAATAACAAATAATGGGACCAAATGGGAGCTAAACACTATCACAAATGTCACATAGAGAGAGTCTAAATATAGTAACCATTTCGTACGTCTAAGTCAAAAACATTAACACATCAACGCGTCAACATTGTATTGCGCTCGTTTGCCTCCATTATCTCACATTATAATGTGAGAAATGGTAAATTTTTTTGAAGAATATTTGATTAAAAAATTTACGTGTAATATTATTTTATTGTACAATTGATAGAAATAAATAAATAAATTATAATTTAGCCCATGTTTGAGCCACATTAAAATTTTCATTCTCATTCTTTTACTCCTTTTCAACCACACATTTTTTAATAAAATAATATTTTCTATCACATCAATAATTTTTCCTTCTTTTCCAATCACACATTCTCCATCAATCTATTATTCCAAAACACATTCTTCCAAAATAATGCGACTCGAACACACCATTAATGGATAATAATGTGGTCAAATAGGGGCATTACATAAATCAATTGTACTAGTTATATGTTCAAAATGTATATTAAAGTTGACACTGTCTGATGTGTTAAAATTTGAAAGTGTTGTTAAAATCAATGTATAAAAGTTATCATCTCTTACCAATGTTAAACTCGATGTAAATGAAACAAGATTGTATAAATTGTCATCTTTTGTGACATGAAAGTTGAAATGCTTGCTCTTTATATAGCATTAGTTAATGAATAAACTCGAGAATGATTCCAATTACATTTTATCTGCAATAGGGACGACGTTGGTATGGGACGGAGATAAATCAGTCATTACCATCCCTGTCTCATCGAGGATTTTCGAGTGTTAAGTTGGAGACGAGATTAAGCCATTATTTGATCAACATTATTTTCAAAATAGATTTTTTCTCTTATTTCCAACTATACATTATTTAATAAAATAGTATCACACGCAAATTCAAAATTTTTCTTTATTTTTTAATAACGCATTCTCCATCAATATACTATTTTAAAATGTGTTATTACAATAAAATGGGACTCAAACGGGCTCTAAATTTTTTTTATTTTTTGTTCTATTTTATTATTTAAATATGATATAAGTTTGAGAAATATAAAATAAAAATGAAATATATGCAAGGTAAGTTTGGAGAATTCCAGAGGATAACAGTTTTCCTAATCTACAATAAAGTCCCGTTTGGTGGAAAATAAATTAGATTTTTAGTAGATTTTGCTAAAAGCTGATTAATTGTGTAGTTGAAAGTTATGAATTCCATAAAATGTATGATTAAGAATGGTTATTAACTTTGATTTAAATTAAAATTTAGATTTTAATTCGGGCCAAACGGGGCTTAGTGTTTACGGGTATTTTTTTCCCTGTCTTAAAAAAAACATTTTCAAGAGAATTTCCATTTTTTTTAACTTCCTGCTGACCATCGCAGGCCAAATTCTAGGAGAATTTTCAAATTAGCCGGGTCAAATGACTCATTTAGATTTTTTATATAAAAGTTAATTTTGCCCTTAATAAAATGGGTTTTCATTACAACTCATGTCCTCAAACTTTATAATAGTTTTTAAGTGCAATGCACGTGTTGTATAGTTTAATTGGGTATTTAATAGTGTGTAGTGATGTGAACGTATTTTTTTTTTTAATATAAGTATGTATTGTTTGTGTAATTGTATGAATTGAGTATTTGGTCAGCTAGTGTTTGTTACACTTTGTAGGAAAACAAAATAAACTACCTGACAAATGAAGGAAAGTTGGTGCACCAGGAAATTGATCTCTAAGAAGATTTATTATTACATCTTTCCTGACAACATATATTCCCATACTTGCAATGTAAGGCATCTTTTTCGCTCTCTCGTTATCAAGACCCAATATGGTAGTGTGAACCTATAAAATGTACCGAAAGGAGAAGAAAAATCACTTCCTGATCTCATCAAAGAATGTAAGACTCACATTGTACTCAATACCACCTTCATAGCTTTTAATTGCTCTTCCTTTGGTTTCTCAGCAAATTCAATGATGCGACCTTCTTCATCTATTTTCATCAGACCAAATGCCGTTGCATGTTTTTGATCCATTGACAGTGCAGCAACAGTAATATCAGCATCTGTTTCTCTGTGGGCTTGAATAAATATCTCATAATTTATTTGATAAAAAAATTATAGGCAAACATGTTGGTCAGATATACCAGATTTTTCGGCGGAAGAGAGATCCTGTGAATTAAGCAAAGGAAAAAATTTGGAAATCATGCTCGTCAGAAAATATATAACAGAGAGAGTATATCATTCAATTTTTTCCATGAATAAGAGGGGATCATATGTTAACTATAACTTTAGAAATATAGTTTTTCATGCTATTTGATTGTTCAACAGGTAGAGTATGTCATATATACTTGATAACAGTTCCATGTGATTTTAGGGGGATAGAAATTGAATACAAAACAAATAAAACATATTATAATCAGAAGAAATAATTGGCACGGCAAAACCTTTGTGTAATAACAAAGAAATAGTAGAATTTACTATTGTAGCTTTCAGGTTTGCTAGTTTAGTTTGCAACAATATTGTTGAGCATCAAATGAAAAAATGCAAGAATCTAAATTCTATAGTGGCGCAAGAATCAGATTCTTTATTAGTAAAGAAATGGTTAATCAAGAGAATGTTATATATGAGTATTGTATTAAGAAATGAAAATGAATAACAGACTTGAATATATAGATGAGAGCAACAATTAGTTTTGCTTCGATAACATCACGTGACCATACCTAACATGATAGTTAAATATCTTTTTTTTGTGGCTTAAACTATAGATGGCATCCAATTTAGTGTACATGGAGAAGTAAGCTAAAATTGATGGTTAGTGTGATAGGCATGGAAGTTACTGTAGATTATATCTTAGTAGCAGCATTCATAAGTTATGTGCTAAGTTTGGCAATCCTTGTTACCCGTAGTATTGGCTTTACGTATTGCCTCATGCAGATAGTTCGGCAATAATTAGCATTTGTGATGGACATATTTTGCAGTATAATAAAAATTGTTCAGGAAGCTGGTAATGAGATGAATGGATAGGGATCTTGATGTGCAGAGTACCATCAAATTAGAAAGACTGCATTTGAATATGTGCACGAATCTTTAATGGTTGTGGGGTCATTCTTTTGCTGATATTTTTAACTAAACCGCCTTTAATTTGCTCGGATATGGTAGGCAGCATTTTAGTCATCTGTAGAATAACAGGATTACAAATTATCTACTTAATCATATGCAAAAAAATAAATAGAAATTGATATTTAAGAAAAAGCATCTCCTGGCTATCAAGGTTAACTTCTTTGATTTCGTGGGTAAGGCAATTAAGCAGTGAATCACGATCACTGATAATTAATTTGAATGCCTTCATATTGATACAAAAATAAAAGAAGTAGTTATTGCCATTGCAATACAAAGTTGAGGGAAATATTAGACGTGAAGTTTGAAAGAGTTACAAAATTTGTGTTTTGGTTCAAAACCGAGGGAGATAATTCCAAAGACTAAAATGCATTGAGCTTCCCTTTTGTTAAAAGGGTTCCAAAGTACTGCAGCCGTCTTGGAGTCAATTCTTTGCAGTATTGCTGCCTTTGGCACTTCTGATCTAGGGCTCTGGAGACCGCCAGAGAGAGTCCTCTTGTACTTAATTTGAATTTCAGGCTGAGGAGAAGCTTCAGTTGTTTCTAAAATAAGGTTTCTTTCCTCTTTACTGGGAAGATTGGGTTGAATAGAATCTGATGCAAACAGGTCTTCAGCCAATTTACCATTATAGTGACTCTCAGAATCTTCATTTGCTTTGTGGATTCTCGTCTGTCTCAGTCTCACCAGTGGATATGGTAGGGGATTTTAGATCAAATCTGGCTGTTATTACACTATGGCCAGCTTTCCTTGCACATTGTCACTGCAATACAAATACTCAAAGCCTTGCATCATTTACAAACATTCATCAAATTTGGGTTCAAAGTTAACTTTGGCATCCTAGATAGAAATCAATCGACTGAATTAGAATTAGGATAACATTATCTCTAATCAATCACATTAAAAAAAAGGCATGAAACGTTTACAGTCTTATATTGACATTTTATCGAACATCAGTACTATATTCTATATAGAAAATCATTCTCTTTGAAATTGTATTTTTTTTTTAATTCAAGAAGTTTGACCCCCTCTAATTTTTTTTTCATTCAGTAAAAAACGTTGACTCTCTCCAGTCCCTTCTCCACCACCTTTGATTTGTCAATTCCACCGCTATCCCAACTTTGAATCACCGCCGATGGTCAAAGAAAAATGGAGGAACACCAATAGTTTAGCAAAGCTTTTCGAACAGGAAAACAAAAAATGATTTTTGCACAAGAACAAAAATGGGTTTTGTATTAGAAGTCAAATTTTGGAAATTTTGATCGTCACAAAAAAATATTAGGCTTTCCTCAAAATTAATGTGTAAGCCAATTTGTATAAAATGAATTAAGAGAACTTGCGAGAATGAAATTTATATTTCATGAGTTTGTCCATATATCTTCAGCCATTGTCTAAGATTATTTATGAGTTGTCTATGTCTTCCACAATCCATTTCAATTCAAGAAAATTCACAACACAACACCCACCTAACAAAATAAATATAAACAGCAATAGAAAATCATTTGAACAGTCCAAAGTAAGTCTGTTAAGATATATTTAGATCTAATCAAGATTCCAACC